CTCAACTGGCAGGCAGATCAGGGCCCAAACCTGGGAGGACTGCTGGGGCTGTGCCAGTCCTCCCGGGGCATAGGGCCCCTGATCTGCCTGCCAGATGAGGGAGGGAAGCTGGTGCTGCCACCTGGGACCAGGGAAGGGAACTGAGCCCGATTGCTCAGTTCCCCTCCCCAGCGCTAGATCAGGCTGGGGGAAGGAAGTCAGCCCAGCTGGGCGGGGTTGCCTTCCCCAGCCCAATTGTAGGGCTGGGGAGGGAAACTGAGCGATCTGGCTCAGTTCCCTTCTCCAGCCCGACTGCAGCGCAGGGGAGGGGAACTGAGCCGGAGCTCAGTTCCCTTTCCCTGTGCTGTGATTGGCTTTCCACCCCAGCCACGGGAGGCGGGGAGAGCTGGGGCTGAGCTCCCTGCCTGGCTGAGCCTGGAGCCGCTGGGAGCACAGCCCTTGTTCTCCCCATCTCCCACCACCTGGCTCCCAGTCTCCTTTGAAAGTTTCGAAATGTTTCAACTAGCCTCCTTTTGTTTCAAGGCTGTTTCAAAGTCCTTCGTTTCATTTCGATTTTGCCATTTCAAGCTTGTAATGACTCGAAACAGTGTTGAAATGAAACAACTGGCAAAATTTCACATAGCCCTAGCAGTCAGCACAGAGCAGCTGACATGTAGGAAGCCTGATCCCCTTTTTTCCACAGTATATTGTTCATATATCCAAACTGTCATTTAGACTTTCTGCTGCTCGTATTTCCTATATGCGAAATGGAGGTGACATTAATAAACACTTGCCTTGCCAGTGTGAAGAGATCATCTCTTAGAGATGTTATCTTAATTTCTATGAAGGCTATTCAGTTCCTTGAATGACAAATCTTAGGTTATTCAAAGTCAGCAAAACTGAATCTCAGCCTGTAAGTATAAAGTATTGTTTTGCTGCTAAATTTATGGGCCTGTGCTGGAAAGTTATTCCCAGAAGATTAGTCCCAGAAGTTCCTGCTGAATCAAACCCCATGGTATTTATTTTAACTAAAAAGCAGACAAGCTGATGATTCATCTTAGTAATACTCCTTAGAAACTGTTTGTAAAATAAAAACAATAGTAGCTTAATGACTGTGAATTTAGTTCTTTTCAAGATTGAAAAACACACGCAATAGCAGCCAGCTACTGGTGCCACTGTTCAAGAAGGATCTTCAGACTGATGGTAGCTTAAATATATATGCATATTCCTTTTATTTGAATGAGGAAAAAAAACCCCATTGCTTATTGTAGTCTGAATGCACTTTAAAACTAGGGTTGGTTGCTTGCAGTTTGTTAGGACACTTTTCAAATCATCTTTGAGACAATTGAAAAAAAAGCAAACCCCAGCTATGAGGCTTTACAACATTTTCCAGCTTATTTATTTCTTAAATCTTACTATCCTTTTTCTTTAAATTCAATGGCTGTATTTTTTTAACCCGCACCAAGATACGAACATGCAGTTTTGATCACTTACTTAAATCCAGTATTTTACTATTGCAGGCAACACTCTTCTTTATTGGCTGTGGAACAAGATAACCGACTTAATCTTCCCAGTAACACGTGAGTTTTCATGTATCATTTTAAACTGCGAAACATTTGAGCTGAGTGTACTGTCACATGCCGATTTTACTTTTCTATAAGAAAGTGACTCCAGGGCTCAATGATGGATTGTTTGCTCTCTTTTAACAACAGTCAAGATGGTGAATGCCCTGGGGTGATAGACAGTGTGCAATGGGAATGAGAGCAAATCTGATGGCCCAGTTCAAGTTCACCTGACAAAGCTGGAGCAGTCTGCAAGCAGCATTTTAGAAAGGATTATTCACACTTGCATTATATTTTTGAATGCATTTTTCTTGCTGCGCAGCTGCACGGCTCCCCAGCACCGAAGGTTTATGCACCATAATAAAGAGATTTAATTTTTTTTCTAACTTCCCACTCTTTACACCTAGTTTCCACTGCTGTGTGCAGTTATAGGGCATCTGTATATCCAAACAACTTAGTACAAACATCACCTTGAAAACAATAGCTGCACTAAAAGGCAGTAACAAAAAGCCTGAAATCTCTGCTGGCTGAAGAAACAAAAGCTGATGGTTTTGTTAAGCCTAACTTTGTACTCGGACCCATCTCTTCATGGAACTTCAGTACTCACTTTTCTTTCCCCTCCAGTTCAAACAAAAAAAATCTTCCCAAACAAACCCTCTGTCAAACAGATGCCTTTCTGGTGCAGGATATTGGAACTTTAAGACATATTTAGGTTTGTTTTAAAAAAACCCACTTTGTTCTACTAAAAATACACTTAACTGCAGGAAAAATAACTACCATTCATTCACACAGTTCTGGACCTTCAGCAGAAGTGCTTGGCTGTGCTGGCAGATTCTCTGGAAAGACAAAGCTTATGATTTCATTTTATCCGGAAAGGCCAATTCCTGAGCAGCAATGATGTTGGGCTTAGTCCTACATGCTGTTCCTATAGGGGGACCCTTACTCCTGCACAGAGGAGGAACACCGGTGAAGTTAATGGGGTTCCACATAGGCACAAGATCCTGCCACTTGGAATAATTTGAAGGATTGGGGCCATTAGCTGGTCTCCAGATACAAGGGGAACATTAACAGTAGTATCACTTAGCAGTCATGATACAGTGCACTTTGCATCTTCAGAGCATTGTACAAATATTTGTCAGCCCCTTATGAAATAGGTACATTGTTTTTTATTATCCTCACTTTATAGATTGGGAAACTAATCCACAGAGAACCAAATTAACTTAGTTAACAGGCAAGTCAAGCCACTTGACAGCCAAGCCCATCATGGAACTGAATGTACCCAAACCTACTGTGTCTGGCATCATCATAGAAAGAGACCCGCAGTCTCCTACTGTTGTTTTCTGGTTAGTGCTTCAGGAAAACAACACTAAAGGGCTATAGGATTATATGTCTTTTCTCTCAGAATATCAGTATTTTAGAGGTGATGTAGTCAATATGTTCAGAGGTGTTTGCATGTTTTAATATAACCACTTTAAGTACTTTTTTCTATCTCAAGGCACGTTCTGGTTTCATTTCAAGATGATCTGAAAAGGATTTTAAAACCATTGGGCTTGTGCCTTTTTCTCCCTTCATTCTGATGTTAAAAAAAAAAAGCTTGGATGTTCTTCCTTTGTCCTTCCCCTCTCCCTGCTTTTCTTCTGAAGTACCAGGAATGGCAACTAATTTTCCATAGTCTAGAGCAGCGTTTCTCAACCTGTGGCTCATGACCCAAAAGTGGGTCTCAAGAATATATGAAAGGGTTGTGAACAAATTTAAAAAATGGATTCTCCTTTAAAGGAGAAAAACATGGGAAACTGGATTTTCCCTTGCACTGGGGTGCTGGGGCCTGGTGGTGGGACACAGCGGGGCAGGAGTGAGGGGCGCTGGGTCGGGACTGGCCATTGATGTTTACAAATGGGTCCTGGTACAAAAAAGGCTAAGAACCACTAGTCTAGAGGATCAAGGGAGTGAGGGAGGGCAAGACCCAAAGATGTGTATTGTGAAGTGAGAAGTGAGGAGGAAGTGAGAGGATTGTTGAAACTCTAACGCAGACAGCATTTCTCCCAAATGTTACCTAGGCATTGGAATTAAGATAGAGCTTAGGGTTCATCTTCATGAGCTATCGTATTAAAATACAATGTGTCTGGCTTGCATTAGGATTTTACAGTGTAGCAGTTAAGTTGTATTGGCCTGACATGTTTTTAAAACACTTATCTTAGTTCAACTGTATTCTTAAGGTTTGTCTGCATTACTGCCATAGCAAAGCATTACTGCCATAGTAAAGCCCTCTCATCTATAGCATTTGACACCAGAAGGGTATGAGCTGCTTTCCAAACTCCATTTCGACAGCATAAAGCTTCAAGAGGAATGAGAGACTAAAACAGCTAGCTATTCTACAGCTCAGACCAATCCTGGACACTCCAACTACACTACAATATTTTATGTCAGTATGCTCCAAGGTTTGACACTCTTCAGCCAGTCAGACTATGTCACATAGTCTTACAGTCTCACATGGAGCCAAAGACACCCACACATGTCTGTGGAGTTACATGAAAGATGAAGTTGACCTTAACAAAATGATGTTATGTGGTTGAGAACATATCTCTGTGCATAGCAGACATTGTAATTTACCATTGGTAGATGCCTTTTTTTTCTTCCATATAAATAACTTGTTTACTTTTCATGGGAGACCACTGGTGTAAGCCCTGGAGGGTACACTGTACTGATGCACGCACTACTGCTGGGCAAACTGGACCAATAGGGAAACTTAAGAAAACAGATATCTGGTTCAGCCAGAGGCTGACATTTTCCGGCACTTAAATACTTCCCCAGTAGATTTCTGGGAAGGGAATGACATAACTTTGCATTTGCTGCTTTCCAATTCTCCAGGTGGTAGCTCACAAAAGTCCAAGAAGGTCATGTCCATGAATTACAGGCTTTGATCTAAAAAAACAAAAGATTGTTTCATAAAAAGTAAACTGCAGCAGCTGCCTCTATGCCGGGTGAACACTATTGAAGCCTGTGGACAGCAGACATACCAGAGGACATTCAGGGAGTGGGAATGTTAAAAATCAGAGATTCTGGAGTGTATTTTTTTTGTAGAGCAACAAACTCTGAACAACAAGAAAACATGCAGCTAAAATGTACGAAATATAAAGAAATGTTCAAAGCAGCAACTGTATGGCCATGCATAGCAAGACATTCCCTGTACAGCCAGAAAACAGGTAAAAACTCCAAGGAAAGTCCTGGAAGTGTGGGTCCAATTAAATAAAATATTTGAGAGTGGGGGAGACCATCACAGCAAGTGATAAGAGGGGGGGACTAGCTTGGGGAGGGGGAGTGTAGAGGGCTGTTGTGTGGTTAATATGTACTTATATTTCCTGAGGCTCAGAATATTCCCAGGCACTTCTGCTTCATTCACACAACTTATACTGACAGACAGACCTCCCTCCCTCCAACCCAGCCCCTACTGTCTACATATTTTGTCACAGGTTTTTATTTTTAAAACAGTTTTGCGCGTAACTGTGCCCCAGAATGTTAGGACATCAAACCCATCTGAGCAGAGGGCTGCATTACATATTGAATGAAACTATCAGCAATCAGCAGCAGATCTCCCATGGATGAGAATGGAAGGCTTATACAAAGGATGGCCAGAATATGACCCTGATATCATAGCTAAGCCTTTAGAAGTCAAAGCAAAGCACTGAACTCCCTTTCTCTGTCTTCAAAGGGAGGTGGATCGAGATAGTAACTGGTAAGTTACTAATGCATTCACCATTACTCAGTGGGACACATTTGGGTGGGAACTTTCTTCTGTCTCTGACACTTGTTTGTTTGACCACATGCATGTGCAGTTGCCTAATTTACCTCCACAATTGCAATAAGTTCAATTACCTGCCTATGCTACCTGAAAAACACATTCTTTTAATCATTACACTTCATAGTGAACTGCTCAACTGGATAAGGGCAGTTTTCCTTCTTGCTTAGAATTGCTGTTCCAGGCTGTCTAGGCTATTTTTCTTCAGCTTATTTTTGCAATCATAAAGGCAACAGTATTATATTTTTGTATAACCTTCTATATTCTGCAAAACTATTGCTAGAGCATGTAGGGAATTTGACAGCATCATTTTATGGAGTTAAATATAAAGATATTTTCAAAAATTAAAGGAAAGGGAAAGCAGGATCTATAAGCAAAGAAGGAAAGATCTTATCTCAGAGTGGATTTGGAAATAGATGGGAACAGAGTAGAGAGACACAGGAACTCCTTTCCCATTATAAGGATTACAGATGAGGTGGTTCTCAAGCTATCAGCAATAAGACAATGTTAAGGGAGAGAGGAGAAGCTGTGCTGGAGGAGCACATTGGGCTCTAATATGCCATTAGACATCAAGCTTAACCCCTTGGAGATACTGGGCACATCTATACATACAATTAATGCTACTGAATATATACTCCAGCTCAATTTGAGCCAAAGTAAACTAATCCCACATCACTGTCTACACATGTGTTTAAGCACAGCACTTTACTGCACTACTGGATACCACTTGTGTCTGACAGGCCTATCTGCCAGTACAGTAAATTAGTCTATTGTACCCTACTTGCTGAGCAGGAATAGACACTGATGCTTTACTGTGCAGCAAATTTGTCTCCTGTGTAATAAAGTATCTTGTGTAGACACACTCACTGCAACATGAGCTATACCTGTGAGGCACAATTTCTTCAAAATATTTTTCTTGCCGCCTTCAGGATATCACAACCCCTCTCCCCCCAGTGCCTGAGTGGATAGTTAAGCAAAGTTTCTGTCTTCTGCCCACTGGTTGCAGGAAACAGTTTCACCATATAATGAAGAAAGATCAGAATAAATCTCTGTGTGTTGAGAATAGCAGGGGATGCTCTTCCACCTAATTGGAATCCCAAAACTACTCTTTTATTTATACGCGTTTCCCTTGCTTTCTGTGGGTTCTGTATGTATGAATTCACTTTTATGCGATGACCCTTTTTATACCACAAATTAATTATATGCGAGGTAAATTCACTCTTATGTGATCGGTGTGGTGGAAGCCTGCAGTCAGCTGCTTTGTGCGGTGCATTTTGGGAGTGGAGGAAGAAAAACTTATTTGTGGGGGCTGAGCCATGTGGTGGTGCCCAGGCCGGTCCAGTCTGGCCCTGTCAGCACGGTGCTCTGGGAGCTGTGAGCCATGACGCCACCCAGCAGCACCACCCACAGCCACTGTTCAGGGCAGCTGGTGCCCACGCTTTTGGAGCTGCAGCTGCCCCGGGAGTGGTGTGATGCCACGTTTGTAAGTGGTAGAAATGGGTCTGGGGTCAGTACAGTCGAGGTCCTGGAACGTATCCCTATTTGGTACATTGTAAAGTGGGTTCCCTTTATGTGAATTCGAGTTATGTGCCGTTTTCCAGGAATGCATGTACAGCATAAAGCAAGGAAACCTATACTATTTTAGTATCGCTTAGTTTATACCTGAGTGTACTAGAAAAGGGCCTGCCCCTGTAAATCTGTAACTCAAACAAGTCACTCCCCTCACTTCAAAGGGGCTGCTTATCTTAATAGGGGTTACAAGACAGCCCCCAAATTTGGAGCACTCCTGATGGTGGGTGTTTTTAGTCTACAATGGGCATATTAACAAGCTCAGACCAATCCCAGCAGTCCTTACTCTGGAAAAACTTCTTTTGGCTTCTTTTGGTAGTTTTTAGCCTATAGAAAGGCTGTAGGATTTGCTCCATGACAATTAGTCAAGACTAATGAGTATTTTAAAACACTTGTAAAAATCTTCCATAAGAAAGTATACACAGAGAAGAAGAAGTTACATCTTTAGTGCTTCTTATATCTAGACACCTGAGACATTTACACCAGTTGGTGAAAAATCATTAATAGAGTTAAACACAAATAGCTAAAATAAAATAGCTGATTCTGAACACACATATTTGGCCATGCTGGGTGCACCTACATGTGCAATTAAGGTGAACCAGTAAACTCCAGAGCAGTTTGAGCCAGAGTAAACTAGTTCTGGGTGCAGCATCTACATGTGTGCCTTGGACAGCAGCAATTTGAGCTGGTGTAGAGCATTTTATCCCAGGGCTGCTCCTGCTGTGCTCTGCCCTGGGCTCTGGGTGGCAGTGGAGGGTGACAGAGGGGCTGGCTGGGGCACGAGGATGCTGAAAATGTGGACCTGTGTGGCTAGGTGGCAGGCAGCTGTGTGGCTAGGTGGCTGGTCCACTATCCAGTTATGGCAGGATTAATTAGCTACTGAGGCTTAATAACATCACGTGTGCAGACAGTGAAGTTTTACTCCTCAGCTAATTAGTCTATTAATAAAGTGCACATGTAGATGTGGCCCCTTTGTGCTATTTGAATGTACTGTTGCACAATTTTATTAATTCCAACAGATATATATAACAAGCTGTATTCAGCCGGTCCACAAAGTGGTAACATGGGATTTCCAACTTGGAACGGATCTTTCAGACACTTTATATGTAGAAGTGACTTTACTTACATGAAAAGTCTTGCATGGATCTGTGTAACAGGGGACATATGTCCTGTTTCTATGGAAGGGAGTGTAGCGAGGCACTGGGGTATACAGGATGGTGAGCCACACTGGGAGCCCAGAGAGAGGGGCTGCACATAGGACCAGGGGTCTGGAGCCCAGAGAGAAGGGTTGTGCTTGGAGCGAAGGGTCCGGGAGCCCAAAAGGGAGTTGAACATGGAACCAGGGGGCCTGGAAGCTCAAAGAAAAGGCTGAGCGAGGGGCCAGGAGTCCAAGGGCCACGTGTGTGAAGGTAACATCTTTAAGGTAATACCTGTGAGGCTTGGGATGTGGTGTAGTGGAGGAATACAGCCACACAATTTGCCCTTAAGGCTATACAGGTACCCTGCGGGGGCATAGCCAGGCTGAGAATGACCTATCAGGCATGAGGCTGGGATTTACACTAGTGGGGCCCAGGAGAGATTTGCTGTGGGAATAGAGCTGATTAAGGCTCAATCTAAGGCCTGTGGGCAGCCTCCCTTACCCAACTTTCAATAAAAACAAGGTGTGGTGGGTGAGCAATTGAGGGAGGGCAATATTAAGTCAGATCTGGGAGCCACATGAGCACCAGGGGGCATCTTGGCCACTCCTGAGGCCATAAGCCTGCTTCAGGGAAGATGGACTGAGAAGACCGTGAGGCCCCTTTAAGGGCAGCACGTCTGTGGCCAGAACAAGATGGCACTTGGATAAGGTGAACTTAGTAAAAAGGAAAGGGGCTGAGCCTAGGAAAATTCCCATACTATGAAGGGGGTGGGGAACCACAGCAGGAGGACTCCTGCCAATAGGGCAGACCAATGGGCTGATGACAGGCTGCCCTGAAAGGGTATCCAAACTCAGTGGGAGCTGAGTACTTCCAGCTGATGGGAAAAATGTGGCGTCAGTAGGGACAGCTCCAAAGCTGTGGACTTGCCTTTAGTAACTGGCCAGAGAAACAGCTGAATGAAAGAGGGAGAACACCTGTGTGTGAGCAGCAGCATAGAGCCCAATAAGGGAAGGGCTGGGCCAGCACAAAAAGCTTCCCTAGGGGAAAAAGAGGGGAAGTAACATGTAAATGACTTCAGTGAGGCCCTGGATGTCAGAGGGAAGTAGCTGTCCCTGGAGAAGTGGATAAGTCCATGCCAAAGAGGGGGAAAGGGGCTTCCAGAAGAAGGGACTGTTAGTAGGCCACTCTCACCCTCTTCTGGCTGCTGGGTATACAATGGTGGGTTAAGGGGTATGTTTAAAGGCTATTTTAGTTTACCCAGTGGGGTATGCTTGGGGATACCATGATGATGGTTTTGGTCCAGGTGGTTTTACCAACCTGGCAGGGGAGATACCCTTCTTATTGGCCTTGAATGACTCAGTGTAGTTGAGGGTGAAGGCCTGTCTCTTGCACTGTGGACAGGTTGACCCCTGAGAGAGTCTATAATGCCTCTAATGTGAGGATCTTGGCTACACAATTTAGGGGGATGGGGGACTGCCTTTGGGCATTACCTCTAGAGTGTTTCTTTGGCCTTTTGGTTGGAGGCAAGCAAAACTAGGGGGCATCTGAGCTCCAAGGCCTCCTGGCTTGGGGCTTGCACATTAGGATGCCTACCATGGATTTGGGAGTATCTGAAGCCTAGGAGGTAGGATATTTGCCAGTGGTAGTGCCACACAGACTTGAACAATTGAGCTGTGCTCAGTCAATAGAAAACAGAACTGATTTGGCCTGAGACATAATACTTTTACATACACACACACACATGCATGCGCGCATGTGCGCGTGTGTGTACTTGTATATACATATTTTTCTCCCTCTTTTCTTTTTCTTTTTTTTGTGTACTCAGGTGAGTTCAGTTGAGTTTTGGGTGTTATTGATTGGTGGCTTGGGAGTGGCTGTTAAGGGGTAGTTTGGAGGCCACACAGTATAGTGCCTGCAGGGCATTTTGCATTTTGAGTCTTGCATAGGTATACTCTGGGATGAGGCCCAAAACAATGGGCCAGAGCCAAGAGCCTCTGCTAGAGAAAAGGGAGCCAAGGCCAAAAGGCTTACGCCTGGACAAAGGGATGAGATCCCAAGGGATGAAACTTACTGACTTGGCTGGGAGACCCCACAAAATTGAGGCCAACTCTCATGAGGCATGGGTTTTGCTAGCGGGGAGGGTGGAGGCCATAAGAGTGGCCCACAAGCCACTGTATAGGCTGGTGAGGTACAGAATCCACAAGAGGCAAATTAGGAGGAGAAAGAAATGGAGAGAGACAGAGTTGGCTAGATGAGCTAGCTGCAAAATCTAGTTAGTTTAGTAACACCAGATTATTGCTCCTCCCCTTCAGATTTACAGGCAACCTCTCAAGAGATTCAGATTTCATCAAAGAATCATTTCAGGTGAATGAGAGGGGAAAAACCCTAGGGAACTGCAGGAGGCAGGGTCATCCCACCACGACAGGCAGGCTCAATCCCTCTTTTGGTCCAAGCCTGCTACAGTCTGTTATCACATGTAGAGAGAGCTTTCTACAAAAATGTGTACAGGATCAAACACTATGGTTGCCATTACTGGCTATGCTACCTTTGCATGTGACTAAGTAGGTTTTGCTATTGATGGCCTTGTTAAAGAAAGACGGTGGCAGATTTCATTGCATTCCACATGCTGATTGTTGAAGAAATAATAAATGCCTTTTTCCCCAAAGTTGGTGGAGTGTGAAGCATCTTTCCCATGAAGTGAATGAATCTGGGGATCTGTGAGGTAGATGAGGCCTTTTCCATTACCTGTCACCCAACCTGCAGAGTGAAGGAAACAGTTTAAGCACAATCATCCCATTGCTTTATTGTTTTCTGTAACTTAGGCTGGGAGACTGAGCATCCTTCTGCCAGTCTGACGTAGGGAGAACGCTACTGATATCAGATGAGTTGCTCTCAATTTTAAAACTGTGTAAGCAAAAGCAAAATATGGCCCTAACTATTGCTATCAAATTTCATGGAAAGACACAAGCAGACCAGTAGGTCCCAACAGTCTCAAATTTCTATTTTACTTCATTAAGCTCTGACAAAGAAAAAACAAAGAATAAGAGTTTGTCTAAAAACTATATGAGTGAACATAAAAAGTAGAAGGCCAGATTCTCAATTCAAACCAAAGAGAGCCATCATGGGACCTGCTAGTTACATGAAGAGAGGGAGGGTGACATCAGAGGTGCTGCTTCAGTGGTTCTTCATCATCTGAGTATCCCCTTTACAGGAGAGCTCCTCATATATAGTTTTATATATGTGGGCAACAGCCTAGCATTACAAGGGTGAAAAGGCTTTCCCTGATGCATGGAACATTATGTTAGGGAGGATTTGTTCCAGTTTGTCTCTTCTCAACAAGACAGTGAGAATGCCATGTGAGTGGTAAAGCACATGCCAAAAAATAAAGACCCTGATGTTTTCTTACATTGCTTGGATTTAAATCTTCTCTATATGCCTCTCTTGCTTTTGTAGCGTTTTAAATGGTTTGCTCTGTTTATAGAGTGTTACACTTGAGGGGAGGGAACGGGACGGGGAAGAGATACAAAAATAGTATCAGCCATAATACAAACCTTGTAGGTCAACAACCACATCTGCGGCATTGGAAAATTCATAGGAAAAGTGTCCATAGGCTAACCCATACTCTGTGGCTTTGTATTCTGTCTTTACTACTTTTGTGTTATTAGATAGCTTCACAAACTCTCCCAGGATGTAGGGCTCCACACTCACACAACCTTTTATGCACCTGCCTTCTAATATCTGAAAGAAACCAGAACATAAGTGTTACAATGATCCCACTAGAAATGAAAATGAGGACATGTCACACAACTCAGAAATCTCAGTTCTTATGTTCACTATTTCTTTTCCTCCTCAAGGAAAATGCATGTCAAGAACATCCATACTCTGCCACAGTTTGCTGTTTCCTCATCATAGCACATCTAGAAGTGGAGCTCATATCTAACAATAGATAAGACAGTGCCAGCTCTGGAAATGACAATTGAGACTGATGGGACTGGATAGCAACCAGTTCTCTAACCACCTTGATTGCAATGCAAATCAGAAACAGACTTTATGAAAATCAGTGTAAGGAGTAGGTAAAAGAACTAGAAGAATGGAAGGTCAGCAATTGGCAACTCTCCCTCATACACTGTCCATGACTGGCTGATGTAGCACTTTCTACATACTTATGGGCTTCAGTATGTTGGTGCTAAAATTGCATTAAGTTTTGCTTGCCAGTGCTCTGGTGTAAAGCAGAATCTATGGCAGCAGACTTAGCAAAAACAGTCAAGTTATTTTTTTCTGAGGTCATGTACATATTTCTTTTAAGGTATACATTAGCACTGAAGCATTAACTTCCACTCTCTACCATGCAGTGACAGAAAAATAGGATGCTGACTCTTTACAGAATAGTTTTCTTGACAATCTGTATTTGAAACACAGAGGTCAAGTAAATACTCACTTAAATGTATGACCTGGACGTACAAAACTGTACCTTTACATGGACTGGGCAGTGCTCTAGTCCTTCTGTACTGGGATAGATAGTTGCCAAATAGAGATTATTCCAGGCTATTTAGTTACCTTTGCTGAAATCCTCCCATCTTAATGCATTATATGTTTTGGGGGTAAAGCTGGGTATTTGCACTCTAGTGACTCCCATTATAATAAGTTCTGGGGTTCAATTACAAAGTAATGCAGAATAGTACAAAGCAAGGCAGATTGGTACAAATCTCAGGCTGGCCCATATGCTTCCAAGATTATTTCCTGTGCCTTCATTACTTATTCATTGTTCTATTGTGCTTTATTGACCAAATTTTTAAAAAGGCAGGTTCTTATCCCAAGGAAATGACAATCTAAAGACTTACTTCCCAACCCCCCACTTTTTTATCTGCCTAATTCCACCTGAATCAATGCAAGAATAATAAGTGAGCAGGATTTGACTCTGATTCTGGGCCTGTTACATATATGCCACGGAACAAATGAATCTGTGAAAGATCAAATCAGACAAGAAGTCAGCAAATATGAACCCTTATATCAACATCATAAGAAGAAGAAAGATACAGTGGTTTGGACATGTAACAAAAAGGCCTGGCGCCCTTACCATCACTATCCTGTAGGGTGCTGTGGGTAGACAAAGAAGAGGAGGAAGACCTAGGACAAACTGGACCACCAACATCAAAGACTGGATGGGATTAGAACTGACTGATTGTACAAGGATTGCACAAGACTGATGGAGGAAAGTTATTGCTACATCAAAGGGGCCCCAGCAGTTGATGTGGCCTCAGGACTGACTTGACTTGACTATATATAGGCCAAGTTTTCAAGAAAGGCCTCAGGGATGCAACTGCTACAATCAGATGTTTACCTGCTAGCTCATGCAACTCTCATGCTTCTATGTACAAATTTGCTAAGGCCTAATCAAGTTGAGCAACACCTAAACCAGCTGGCTAAGTGATTCTCTGCCTAGCAGACCTGAAGTTTGGCACATAAAACACAGGAGACATGCTTTTGCCAGGTGCGCCCATTTTGCCCTTCCTTGAAAAAATGTGCATCTAGGCTTAGGCATTTTCCATCTTCTAAATGATCAAACAAACCCCCACATCCAGGATTATTTTTTTGACCAAAATATTGAGGGAGGTGATGCTCCCCCTCTATGCGGCATTGGTCAGGCCACAATTGGAGTACTGTGTCCAGTTTTGGGTGCCACACTTCAAGACACGGAGAATCTGGAGAGGGTTCAGAGGAGGGCCACTCACATGATTCATAGCCTCCATGAAAGACCCAATGAGGGGAGGTTGAGGGATCTAGATCTCTTCAGCCTTCACAAGAGATGGCTGAGAGGAGACCTTGTAGCTGGCTATAAGTTTATCAAGGAAGGACAACAGGGAGTTGGAGATGCGCTATTTACCAGAGCGCCCCAGGGAGTAACTAGGAACAATGGGTGCAAACTAGTGGAGAGTAGCTTCAGGTTAGACAATAGGAAGAAATTTTTTACAGTAAGGGTTGCCAGAATCTGGAATGGGCTTCCAAGAGAGGTGGTACTATCACCTAGTTTGGAAGTCTTCAAGAGGAGGCTTGATAGTCACCTGGCTAGGGTCATCTGACCTTGGTCCTCTTTCCTGCCAGGGGCAGGGGGGTTGGACACAATGATCCTTTGTGGTCCCTTCTGACTACAATGTACGAATCTATGAATCTATGAAAACGTGAAATGCAGGGGTGCCAAAGATATGGCCCATAGCCATTTCACCTGGGTCATGGAGCTCCTAGAGTGGGCAAGGCAAGTGGAAGTGGACCCACTGACAAATTCCCAGCTATGCAGCTTCTCTGGAGATACATATTGGTGACAGGTGAGGTTGAGAGACAGCTGCAATAATTCCTGTGTTGCTGCTTATGCTTACTCCTTTGCTGCTGCTGGGTACAGATTCTGCTCATGAAGCTTCTTGCAGTCCAGATCCAGCCTAGGGGCCCCAGTGAGTTTGACATCCTTGATGTAATATAATTTCTCTTTTAGTGTATTGGACACAAATGACTTAGTGCTGTTGTTTGGAATGATGATATATTTACAAGTGGTTCACTGTTTGGCATGCAGAGACCGGGTAACTCTCCTTGTCTTATACTCTGACTTCAGGGTATCAAATTCCTCTGGCCCTGTGGGTTGGGTGAATGGTGCAGGGCCAGCCTATAGATCAGAAAAATGGTGCAGGGATGGTCCACAGGTCAGAGTGGGCCTATAAACCAGCCCTGTATGCTGGATCCAGCA